TTTTGACCTTCTAATAATTTTTGTTTTTTACGTTCTATTTCTTTTTTAATTTTTTCTAATAAATTTTGTGTTTGACACACTAAAATTTTCATTTTATATGCTTGATCATATGCATTTTCTGAATAATTTTGGTTTGTTACTATAACACCAGTATCCTCCTTATGATAACTTTTCATAAACCTACTTGTTCTTTCAACATCGTTAAAACCTATATTATTATAATCTCTAAATTTACAACAAATAAAAATTTTGAAATTCTCATAATCAGCAACAAGATATTTATCACGGTCAGAGTAAAATAATTCATTCTCATTTTCATAACTTCTACATTCAAAACCATTATTATTCAACAGAGTTTGGATTTTTTTCTTATATTTCTTACATGCTACTTCGATTTCTTTTTTCTAAGAAAAAAAAAAATGATAAGTACATCATAATTTCATAGTACCTTTAGCAAAGCTTGTCTCAGACCTCACTTTAACTAAACTCTCAAATCTACAGAGGCGATTATTTGCTGAAAAGCAGTCACAAATCTCACTCAACTCCAGCGTAACTTACATTTGAGAGTATACATATTCATGCAATACTTAGTAACAAAAATATTCATTACCTTATTATTTTTTTTAACTTGATATTTTTTAACACTCGAAAAATTTTTAGAACTCATTTTTTGCTTACAAAAAACTGTTTACACAAAAAAAATTTTAGCATGACATGATGAGAAAAAAATTACATGAGGTATATAAATAAATAAAAAACTAATCTAAAAATAAACAAAAAAAAACAATCGTTACAAAATTTAATGATCTGATAATCAAATTTGAAACAAAGAAATATCAATTTATAGTATATGTGCACCTATATTTACTAACAGATTTTCTAAAAATAAAATAAACTAGAATAAATCATTTAAATCAATTGATCGCAAAATTTTTTTATCATTTAAATAATTAACGAGAAAGATATTAAACAAAAATATAATTAATAATTTGTTTATTAACATATTTTTTAATAAATAAAAGTTTTATAATAATACATATTAATTTCATTCAAGCTATATTTATAATTAAAAAAAAACTATTTTTTAGATCTCTGCCAATTTTTAACTGCTGTTGAAAATAATTTATCTGATGCAATACCATTTTTTTTTAATCGTTTCATTTCTTTACTCATAAATATGTTATATTTACTTAATTTTCTTTTTTTTTTAGGAGTTGTTTTTTTATCTAATTTTCTCTTCTTTTTTTTAGATTTTGTTTTTGGGTTTTCTACAATTAATTCTTCTGATTCTTCAGAATCTGAATCATCGTAAGATTCTTCTGAATTTTCAGATTCTGTTTCTGAAATTTCATCTTCATTTAATTCTATCAAATTAATAATACCCTTTTTGATAATTTTTACAGAATTTAATTTTAATAACGATTTTAATTCTTTAACAGTAGCCATAATTAAACCTAAAAAAAACTTTATTACTTAATTTATAAAATACATCATATTTATATTTATATTTTTTTTTAAAAAAAAATAAAGAATAAAAAAAAATTAATCTTCATAATCATCATCATCATCATCTTCTTCATCATTATTATTGTTATCATCATATTCACGTTCTATAGTAACTGTGAATTCATTACATTCATAATGAATTTCGTAATTTATATTTTCATTTAATAAAGTCCAATTTTCATCAACCCAAGAATCAAGAAGTTCATTTAATTCTTGTTTAATATTATCTTGAACATTTTTATGTTTAACTTTATCAAATGTTCCTTCAAAAATACATGTTTTGTTTGTAAAAATTTGGATACCATAAACAATATTAATATATAACATCAAAATAATCAAAATTTTGAAATTCATTTTACGTTTTTTTTGTTTATTATTATTAAAAATCTGTTCTTTATATATTAAAAATTACAATAAAAATCAGATGATAAAATTATATAAATATAAAAATCTAGTAAATTGATCATCATTATAATGACACAATATTTATTCAAAATGAAATGAATAGTTATTGTGTAATTATAACAATAATCAATTTAAATTGAACTATCAAAATTAACAAGCTTTTTCAAAGCTTGTGATCTAACATTATTTGATATCTATGTCACTTTGGACATAGAATTATTATTTAAACCTAATTTATAAATAAAATTTGTATTTATATTTATAAGATATTTTAAAAAAAATAATAATTCTTATTGTAAAGATAAGAAAAATACCTTAAGATAAAATAAATTTTAATAATTTTTTTCTTGTGAAGATGAGGAAAGGTTTTTCTTCTT